ACACATTTGCGCCAGCGCCAGACATCACAACAGACCCGAGGACACTCCTGCACCGCGTCCGCGCCAACTTCGACACAGACTCCAACTCCAGTTCCACCCTGCACGACGGATACTTCGAGCAGCACGACAGAATCAGTAGTTTTACGACCGCCGCGTGCAGCGCGACGACTACCATGGACAGCACGGCGGCTTCGCCCCCTCCCTTGACTCCAGCTCCAACTCCAACGTCGACTACGTCTCTGGCGTCCGATCCCGCTCCGACGCCAGCTTCAGAATTCGATGCAAGACCCTGGCGTGGGCGTTGCGCAGCCAGGCTCCTGGTCTGACCGGTAACATGGTGCCCGTCGCCAGGCGCCCTTCGGCCTCCACCCACCCCTGGGACGGCTACCAGCACTTGTGCTACATCTACTTGTACCTCCAGTTGGCCGACCACTCGTGAGCCCCCGCACCGCCTTTCTGCCCTCCTCTACTTTGGTGCTTCTCCTCCCCCTCCTTCCTGCTCCGCACGCAGCGCCGCTACGATGACAGGGGATTCGTGGCTGGGTCAGCTGTCAGCCGCTACGACACGTGAGGCCATGGCTATTGCTATTTGTATGTTTTCCTGTTTCTTTCTCCTTCTCTTTCCTCCTCCTCCTCCTCCTCCTCCTCCTCCAGCGTCGGCCGCGTAATACAGGGAACGCTGTAATTACCCAAATTTTCGACGCTTCGCGAATCCCCGCCAGCCCATCCAGAAACGATGCCCAGAGGACTTGCCTCGATCAGGGAAGCGGGCAGCACACAGGAAGGGTCCCCCAGTGGAGGCTTCTTGAAGCGTCTTGGGGGCCTCCTGGCGGTCCCGGACGCCTCTTAGAGCGCCTTGGGTGCCTCGTAGAGCTTTTTGGGGCCTCTTGGGGGTCTATTGGGAGTCTCTTGGAGGCCTCTTGGGCGCCTGTTGGGGCCTCCTGGGGCCTCCTGGACGCCGCGTGGGGCCCTCTTGAAGCGCTTTGGTGCCTTGGGAGCGCTCTTGGAGGCCTCTTGGGCCATCTTGGAGCCACCTTGAGGCCTCCGCGGGAAAGCCAAAACCATGGATGTGCCCAAGGTTTTTGAAGGATTTTGGCCTCATCGGGGCCTCCTGGGGGAGCTCTTTGGCCACGTGGAGCCGTCTTGGAGTGGTCTCGGGGCCCCTTGGAGCATCGTGGGCGCCATCTTGAGACATCTTGGGGTATCTTGAGCCATCTTGGAGATCATCTTTGGCTCCCCCAGGCGCTCTTGGAGTCATCTGAAGCAGTGCCCCCCCCAGTAGGCCAAAATATGGCCAAAACCTTTTAGTCAAATCAGCGATTCTGGCATTGTCGCCGAGGCCTCTTGGAGCGTCTTGGGTGCCTCTGGGGGGCCTCTTGGGGCCTCTTGGAGGTCTCTTGGAGGTATCTTGGGAGCCTCTTGGGGGCATCCTGAGGGCCTCCTGGGGGCCTCTTGGGGCTTCCTGGCCACGTCTTGGGGCCCTCTTGGGGCACCCTTGGGAGCCTTGGGGGCCATCTTTGAACCATCTTGGGTGAGATCGATCACAGGAGGGAGGTGTTCAATTACAGCCCCCCCCTCCCAAGAGGCCAGAATGGGGCCACAACCCTAGTAAAACCAATGATGTTGGCTTCCTCGCCGAGGCCGTTTTGGACGCTCCGACGACTCGCGGAAACCCTTGTCCAGGTCCAGGGGAGGGGGTACGGAGCGCGTGGGTAGGGGCTGCCCGCTAATCATCGGCAGTATGCCGGTCCAAGGGCCATTTCAAGCTGCGAGTGGAGACAATTTGGCCTCTCATGGTGTCCGTCGTCGTCGCCCGGCTGATCGCCTGTTTTGTGTTGGTTCCGTTTGTGCGGGGCTAGCTTTGGCGATCCTTCACTAGTAGCTTACGGCTTCGTTTGCCGTGAACAAAAACTAAAATTGATAATAATGAGGAGGCTGCTGATGGGGATGCTGCTGGTGATGATGATGATGCTGCTGATGATGCTGGTGCTGATGATGATGCTGATGATGCTGCTGCTAATGCTGTCTATGATGATGATGACGATGCTGATGATGGTGATGGTGATGATGATGTTGATGATGCTTGTGGTGGTGGTAGTGATGATGATATGATGATGATGATGATAATGATGATCATGATGATCAGGATGACCATGATTATGATAATGATGGTAATGATGATAATGATGATGCTGATGATGATGATGGTGATGATGATGATGATGATGATGATGATGATGATGATGATGATGATGATGATGATGATGATGATGATGATGATGATGATGATGATGATGATGATGATGATGATGATGATCATGATGATGATGATGGTGATGATGATGAGAAAAAGGAGGAGGAGGGGGAGGAGGAGGAAGAGGAAGAGGAGGAGGAGGAGGAGGAGGAGGAGGAGGGGGAGGAGGAGGCGGAGGCTGAGGGGGAGAGGGAGAGGGAGGGGTAGGGAGGAGGAGGAGGACGATGAGGAGGAGGAGGAGGAGGAGGAGGAGGAGGAGGAGGAGGAGGAGGAGGAGACCATGGGCCGTCCGCGGGGCGCCTTGCGCCCCGAGGTCTGGGGCGCAGCGGTGCCCCTCTCCAGAGCGGCGGCGCGAGGGCGCGAAGAGAATCCGCGGGGCTCGAGGCGCGAGGCCAGGCGTGAGACGAGGGCGTAGGTCAGAGGCAACGATGGGGGTGCATAGGCTCAGGGGGAGAGACGTTTCGGATTCGAAGTTCTAGGTTTTCGGTGGTGTTCGTCGGTCCGCGGAGGCTTTCCAGCATCGGAATGCGTTTCAGCAGCTGCGCCTCGCCGGGGGCGTGTCGGGGGTGTCAGAATCGCCCCGAAAGGCTGCCGGAGGCCCAAATTATGACCCGAAAACCATCAGGGGATAGGCTCAGGGGGGCACGCATCGACCCCCGATCGCCCATTCGTTGCCAATAGGGGCCCGACAGCCCTGTCCCGCCCAGCAACGTGTACACCCATCAGAAATCGTAGGACAAAGACGTTGGCTGCCGTGGACTCCAGAGTTCGCTCAAGAAAATTAAGAATCTGGACTGAACCCTGGGCGTTTTCCTGGAACTTCCTTCGTAAAACGCTTGTATCTGTGGACCTGGACTACGGTTCAAGAGAAAGCTTGGAGTGAAGGCCGTTTTCTGAGCGTCGACTTTTCTAAATTCTAAGCAGGGGCACGTCGCCCATTCCTGGTCGATGTTTCCCCCCACCCCCGATCTGGTCTTCCCCTGTCGTTGCCCCTCCTTTGGGAGGAAGAGGAGGGGCCTGAGCAGGAGGGGGGGGAGGGGGCAACAGCGAGGAGGGGGGAAGCAGGGACCGGCGAGGAGGAGGAGGAGGAGAAGAAGGAGGAGAAACAGGAGGAGGAGGAGGGGGAGGAATAGGAGGCATTACCAGGAGGAGGAGGCGGAGGAGGAGGCGGAGGAGGAGCATGAGGAGGAGGAGGAGGAGGAGGAGGAGGAGGAGGAGGAGGCGGAGGCGGAGGAGCGGGATGGATGGCCAGGCGCTGGATGGACAGGCGGGAGGCTCTGCGCGAGGCTCTGCGCGAGGCGGGGACGGGGACATCTCACCGACACCAGCCGGCCGTTGACGCCTGGGCGCCACGGAGTGGGGGTGGGCGCAGGCAGCGGCGCGATCCAGAAATGGGGTAGCGCCGCAACAGGCGGGCAGGAGGAGGAGGAGGAGGAGGAGGAGGAGGAGCAGGTGGGGGGGTTCGGAAGCTCGGGTATGGCGACAGTGTCGGTTACAGGCTGGATAAACTGAATACCCCGTTGCTTCCTGCTGGCCAGTCTGGCCTTGCTACGAACTCTGGGCCACAGGCCTCGGGATACTTTATCAAGGTACTCCTTCCGATTGCCAGTGACGAACTCTGAGCACTCGTCCCCAAGCTGCTTGAGCTGCTGAGAGGCATGGCAACCAGACGCTGTGCAAAACTAGAGTCCCAACCCCGAATGGTACCGAAGGGCGTAAGTCGCACGAGCGAGCCCCCCTGAGATGTGCACCCGCTGTCCAGGAGGAGGCCTACTTACGATTCCGCCCACATGAGTTAAGGAAGAATGCAATGAGCTCAGCCACTCGCTCGTACAAGCAAGGGAAGCAAACCCTTGACACCTCGAACAGCTCCTGGAGTTTTCTTTGAGAAATGTGTTGCCGTACAAATGGCTCAAACTTTGGCTGCTGGAGGCCGTACAATAGTTGGAGTCTGATGCTTACGCCTATGCTGACTACCCTCCTGAGCTGCGAGCCGCTCTTTGGCCTGTATGGTTTCGCGAGTGCTCTGAAGGATGCGCATGCTTCCTGCGAACACTTGCTGTTCTACTAATTTTATCCGCGCACGTGTGTGCTTAGCTGGGCGTACCAAGTCGGGCCCAGCCGCTGCGAAACAGTCGATAGTGGTGCCACCTAGGACAAGCAATCTCAGGGCAACTCCTTTGACAACTTGCTCACCCTCGAGGTGAGAGTGTACGAAAAGAACAGGAGGAGCAGGAGGAGGGGGAGGAGCAGCAGGAGGAGGAAGAGGGGGAGGAGGAGGGTGGCGGCTTGGGCGTCTGAAAGAGCGTCTTCTGAGCACACCAGGAGGGAGTCAGGTGCGATTCAGAACGTCTGGTCGACGGGGGGGGGCTACAGCGTCAGCTGGCGGCCGCGCAGGCTCAGTGGCCCTGTTGTGCCAGGCTGTCTGCAATATGTTCGATGGGTGCGCTGCGGTGTGCGGCTCGTGGGCTCCTGCATCGTGTCTTTTGTCTACGATGGCATCGGCGGGGAAGGGATGGAACGACTGGCTGGTGGCATGGAGGGAGGGAGAGGGAGGGAAGGAGGTCTGGAGGGAGGATTGGGAGGAGACCATCGGGGAGGGAAGGAGCGAGGGAGGGGTGACTGGAGGAAGGGAGGGAGAACGGGAGGGATGGAGAGAGGGCGGGAGCGAGGGAGCGAGGGAGAAGCAGGGGCGACCTCTCTCAGCACACGCCCCCCCCCCCCAAAAGAAGCGGATGGCTGGGAGGCCTTGGGCCCCGCGGCAGCCATGGCCGCGATGGCGGCCCGCCTGCGCAGCCTCGCTGCTCTGGGATGTGAGGGGCGAAGTGCAGCAGCAGAAGGAGCAGACGGAGCAGACGGAATAGGAGGGGGAGGAGGAGGAGGAGGAGGAGGAGGAGGAGGAGGAGGAGGAGGGGGAGGAGGAGGAGGAGGAGGAGGAGGGGAGGAGGAGGAGGACGAAGAGGAGGAGGAGGAGGAGGAGTAGGAGGAGGGGGAGGAAGAGAAGGACGAGGGATGAGGAGGAGGGATGCTGCTGCTGATGATGCTGATGATGCTGATGCTCATGATGATGGTGGTGATGGTGGTGGTGAGGAGGAGGAGGATGGCGAGGATGATGATGATGCTGATGATGCTGCTGATGATGCTGCTGATGATGATGATGATGGTGATGGCGATGCGGATGATGATGATGATGATGATGATGATGATGATGATGATGATGATGATGATGATGATGATGATGATGCTGATGATGGTGGTGATGGTGGGGGTGGTGAGGAGGAGGATGGCGAGGACGATGATGCTGATGATGCTGCTGATGATGACGATGCAGATGATGATGACGATGGTGATGGCGATGCGGATGATGCTGATGATGCTGATGATGATGATGATAATGATGCTGAGGATGACGATAGTGGTGGTGATGATGATTATGGTGAGGATGAGCATGATTGTGATGCTGAGGACGATGATGATGCTGATGATGATAATGCTGATGATGCTGATGACGATGACGATGCTGATGCTGATGATGATGATGATGGCGATGCTGAGGTGCTGCTGATGATGATGATGCTGATTATGATGGTGGTGATGATGACGTTGATGGTGATGATGATGAGGAGGACGAGGATGAGGGTGATGATGATGATGTTGATGATGATTGTGATGATGCTGATGGTGATGCTGATGATGATAATGATTATGATGGTCATGATGATGATTATGATGTTGATGATGATGATACTGATGCTGATGATCCTGATGACGATGATGATGATGATGACGATGATGATGATGATGATGATGGTCATGATTGTGATGGTGAAGATGATGATGATCATAATGATGATGATGATGATGATGATGATGATGATGATGATGATGATGATGATGATGATGATGATGATGATGATGATGATGATGAGGAGGAGGATGAGGAGGAGGAGGAGGAGGAGGCGGATAGATGATGGGTCATGTAATAATGGATGATGGATAATGCATGGTGATCTTGGTGGTGGTGGTGATGATGGTAGTGGCCATGGTGATGAGGGTGAGGATGAGGATGATTATTGAAATGTGAATGTTCTAGAGGAGGGGGAAGAAGACAAGTTGAGCTTGGGGAGCGTGGGGTGGGGGGGGGGGACGGGGGTCAGGGCCCCCGTTTTCGCGGTGAGCCTGCAATGCCAGAGCGGCCCGCACTTCCGCGTCACGGTGATCTGCCAGTTCAGGGCGCCGTCGCGGAGGTCCGCCAGGTTCACGGGCTTCTCCATCGGCGCGTCGTGGGCGGAGGGCTGCTGGTGCACACTGCCGAGGATACGTCATAGCAGGCTGAGGTCGGGTGGTACTGTTTCGCCGGAAACGGCGGACAACGGTGCCCGCCTAAGTTGCGTGAACGACTGGAGCAGTTGTTCGCGAACGAACAGGCCCGTTCAGCAGTAACGCAGTTCTCGAGACTGTTGCTCAAGACTGCACCCGCTTCGGTGATCGTGGGATGCGCCTTGGTCAGGTATGCTTCCGCACCTTGGGGGGCCCCACGGCAGGGGGTGTGGTCCAGAGTTCATTGGCTTGCGCACGGCCTGCTTTGTAAAGGGCAGCAACGGGTTCGGCATCGGTCGCCTGCTGCAGATGCGGTCGGTGTCGCTGGCCGCTCCCCTTCCTTCTCCTCCCTGACCGCGCGGAAAGATCTGCGGCTTGTGCAGCCTCGTTGCTCTTGCCTCTGCATAGCGGGATCGGCGCATGCCCCCTGCTCGCCGTGTGGTTTCGCCGTCAGTGGCGTGAGTGCGATGTTGGCCACGCGGTTGGTTGGATCAGGCTTGTTTGCTTCCCTACCCACCATCCTTTGTCTTCGGAGGTCGTTGCCGGCGTCTGGCCTGCTCTGTGCGGAGCAAGCAACGCGTTCGGTGTCGCGGTCTGCTGCAGATGTGGCCTGCGTCGCCTTGTGGCTATCCGTATCCTACCCCGGCCCCCGCCAAGGTGGCTCTCTTTTCGGGAAGGCCGCGCCCCTTGTGAGCTTGCTTATCAGTTGGAGCTGAGCTGCAAGAAGCGCGACGCTAGACGCAGCACGACGGGAGGACAAAGAAGGCAGTGAGGGAAGGCGAGGATAACGAGGAATAGGGGGAGGAGGAAGAGAATGAGGAGGAGGAGGAGGAGGAGGAGGACGAGGAAGAGGAGGAGGAGGAGGAGGAGGAGGAGGAGGAGGAGGAGGAGGGGAGAGGAGAGGAGGGGAGGGGAGAGGAGAGGAGGAGGAGGAGGCAGAGGAGGAGGAGGAGGAGGAGGAGCAGGAGAAGGAGGAGCAGGAAGGGGGGGGGAGGCGCAAAGGGAGAGGTACAAGGGGGAGGGACCCATCCCTCCTTCCTCGCGTCGCCAGCTTAAGTGACCTACATGAAGCTTTCCATGAAGGGCCTCCTCTTCGAGGATCGAAGGAGTTGTCACCTCTTCGTCGGCGGAAGGTGGCGGAAGTAAAAGGTACGCCCCCAAGAGATGACAAGATGTTTGGGCTCAGGGTTGCTGGATTATGACACATGTTGCGCGCAGCATTGCTTCTTTAATGTTGGTTCACCCTTGTATTTGTTGTGTTGCCTGCTTCCTCGGTCGTCGCTCGATCAAGTCACTGACGCTGTTGGCGGGTTGTCCCCATAGCTTTTCGAGGTAAGAACACGGGAGGGAACATGGTGCAGAGGGCAGGAGGCGATTGTAGTTTCGGGGGGACATGTGGTACGGTTGCCGGCAGGAGATCGTGCTCATGCTCCTGTTTTCTCGTTATTTTCTGTACCTTCCTTCCCTGATGTATTGACCCTCTGCCCTCGTCCCTTCTTTGGTCTGCGAGGAGAGGGAGAACTGGTAAGGGTAGTTTCGGGGAAGTAGGAGGAGCAGTAGCAGCATGAGGAGTAGGAGGAAGAGGATTGGGGAGGAGGAGGAGGCGGAGGAGGAGGAGGAGGAGGTGCAGAAGGAGGAGGAGGAGGAGCAGGAGGAGGAGAAGTTATAGCTGGATCAAGAGGAGGATGATACGAGGATGATACTACTAATACTAATAATATTACTAATAAACAGAAGAACAATAATAATAAGAAGAACAAGTAGGAGAGAGACTGTGATGAGGGCTGCGTGTGCTGATGGGGTGTAGGTACGAGGGGGAGCATCTAGGGGAGAGCGGGGCGCGGTCGCCGATTTTGCTTCCGTAAAGAAATCGCCCTCCTTCCAGCCTCTTCTCTCTCCTCGCTCCCCTCCCTTGTTGGAGGGATGGTGGCCTCGGAAGATGAGCAGGAGGAGCAGAGCCACGTCACCCTCTGCCCCCGCCCCCTCCTCCGCCTCCGCCTCCGCCTCCGCTCACTCCTCCTCCGCCTCCTTCTCCTCCTCCTCCTTCTGTTCCTCCTCCTCCTCCTCCTCCTCCTCCTCCTCCTCTTCTTCGACGAGGGAGTTGCGCGCCCAACCCTGCAAGGCCATGTGGCATCCTGGAGCCGCGTCGTCGCAGATGGGCATGCCTCCGGCAGGGGGCGACAGCGTCGCCCGCCGTGTGGAGGAGCAGGGGGCGGTGGAGGAGGAGATGCAGCATCGGGAGCAGGAGCAGGACCTGGAACAAAAGGAAGACGGCGAGCAAGGGGGGGAAGTTTGAGGTTCGAGGTTCGAGGTTTTTGGAGGCTTTTGTCCGTTCTCGGCGGGCTTCCAGCCTCGGGATGCTTGCCAGCAGCTGCGCCTCGCCGAGAGCGTTCTAGGGGTGCCCGGATCGTCCTGAACGCCCGCCGGAGACCCGAGTTATGATCCAAAAACCAAATCCGACGGCGAGCGAAGGGGAGAGTGAGAAGGAAGAGGCCTTCTCACCAGGCGGCGGGGCTTCTCAGAAGCCCTCGCGCCTTCTGAGAAGTTTTCTGCGTCTTCGGGGAAGGCTCAGAAAACTTTTCAGAAGGCCAAGGGACTTCCGAGCCTTCTGAGAAGGCCCGCCCCTTCTCACTGCCACCCGCGTTAGCCGCCCGGAAGAGAAGGAGGACGAGAAGAACGAGACGAGGCAGTCGCAGGAGCAAGGTCTGGAGAAGATCGCGAAGAGGATAAGGGGTTGCTGAAGACAGGGGGAGGGTTTTGGTGGGAGGAAACGGGGCAACCTGAAAGGGTGATCAAGCATTGAAGAGGGCGAGTGCGAAGAGAGTAATCAATAATACAACCTCCCTCTTCCTCGTGCCGCTCTTCCCGCACGGAACTTCTCCGAGGTGTCATCCTGGATTTTCCCAGCGCTCTGAGTGTCGACGATGCCCGTGCCTCCCGTGCCTGGGTCAGCGAGAAGAGATCTCGTAAAGCGACTGCCCGTGGATGGCCTCGTCTCCCGCAAAATTCAATGGGAGGAGGAGGAGGAGGCAGAGGAGGAGGAGGAGGACGAGGAGGAGGAGGAGGAGGACGAGGAGGAGGAGGACGAGGAGGAGGAGGAGGAGGAGCAGGAGATCCCGTGGTGGGATCGCGGGCTTCCCACATCCACTGGCCCACGGCATGGGTCGCACCCCTGGCGCACGCTGCAGCCACGGCTGGGCGCAACACGCACCCGCTCATTAAGGCGGGTCCGCCCTCTCAGCGTGGCCCCCCCCCCTCCCCGAATGCGCAGAACTACCAAGGGTAGGAGTCAGAGTCCTCACGTTGTCTTGCTTTTGTCCGTGATCGCTGCGGGTTTTATGAGACTATGCCCGCAATCGTTCTTGAAAGCTCCTCGAATGTAGCGTGCAGGCTTTCAGCAACCTCTCAACTCACAGTGGTGGAAACTGTACTACTCGCGCGGCCGTCCTCGACACTCAAGTGCACGGGCAGACAATAAAAGCTGCAACTGTGAGGGTATCATATTTCCTCTAGGCCAGGGAATACTGACCGGACCCACAGCCCATGAACACCAGGGGCCAAATTTCGGGTGGTACTCTGCAACTGCCACTGGCCATGGGACGGCTACATGCCACGAAGGGCTGAACCACGTTCTTCACGCCACCCGGATGGGGCCAAGTCCTGGAGCACGTATCCAGTAGCTTTCGGCCTATCTCGTCATCGTGCCTGCGTCGCTTACGCCTCTGAGAAACCTCTTGGGGTCACTTAGGAGGCCTCATGGGTGCCTCTTGGAGGCTTCTTTGCGACCTCTTGGAGGTCTCTTGGGGCCTCCTGAGGACTTTGGGGGCCTGTGGGGGCCTGTTGGGGTCTCTTCGATCTCGGGCGCCATCTAGGGGGGAAGGGGAATGGATCGGAATGCCAGTTTGGATTCCACCTCTTGGGCCTTTCTTTGGGCGGTCTTTGGGATTTCTTGGGCCCTCTTCAGGGCCTCGATCGGGAATGTTCAGCTCACCAAGCATCTGTTTTTGCAATGGTTGCGTTGTTGTGGGCCGGCCCCCAGGGCCTCCAAGACGGCCCAACAGGCGACCAAGGCAGCTCCAGGCCAGGCTCTGGGACCATTTGAAGCCATGCTGGAAGGGTGGAATCCCAACCACGCACCCGAGGCCCCTTACAAAGCCACGTGAGGATCCCTGGGAGCGCGCGAGAGCGCATAAGATCGCAAGAACGGCCAGAAATCCCATAGCTCGGCGCGTACCTTCCGAAGCTAATGTCGGTGCTCATCAGAAAGAACTCGAAGGAAGCTGATTGCACTCCACTCAGTGCCTTGCCGCACGGTGGCGGATTTGAGGGCCAGACCGAGCACGATTCCCCCTCTGTGTGCAAGACTTTCGGGTCGACGGCGATGCCAGCTGTGGAATGCAGGGCCCCACTTGCGCGAGAGGGCACCCGCACGGGCCTCTGCAACACCGCGTGCGGAGCGGACCTTTCCAGACGGAGTGGCATGCCTCGAAGCTCGAGTATTCACTTGAGCTGGCCAAGGCCGTGGTCAAAGACCAGTCGCTTGGCCGCACCTAGTGGCCACAATGTGGCAGGGCAAAATGTGGAAGCATGCGGTTTGGCGAAGTCGAACAATTAGACGGATTCAAGTACGCGTAGACGTGCCAAGACTTTGAGCCTTACTCTGGGTTAAAGCATGCAGACATAGGACAATTACTGCTGCTGCCTGTGAATGCCGGCTTCTGTCTTGTCCGCCTTGTGTGTCCCGCAGAGAGGACGCTGATGATGCTGATGATGATGATGATGATGATGATGATGATGATGATGATGATGATAGTGATGCCAACGTAGCTTTGCTTGGCTGCCGCCTCCTGATTCTGCTGCAGTGGCCCAGATGGTCGGTAAGTTAAGTATGCTGTGAAGCGCACCAATCTGCACATTACGCTAGCATCTCTTCGTGTTGGCTGTCGTGGAATTTATGCCTCTTCTCGCTTCAACGCATGATACCCGTCGTGGTTGCGTCGTTGGACGCCCTCACCCTGATGATGAACCAATCGACCTTGATATTGCACATTATCGAGTGTGCCCACACTTTCACGGCAGCCTTGGACAGTGGTGAAGACCATTTGCGGATTGTGCCGTTCTCATTGCTGTGTTCATTCTCTTCGTTCTTTCGCCATCAGCTAACCTTATCTGGTGTGTTGCGTCTGCGTCTCAGAAAAGAGTGGCCAGCATGGTCGAAGCACACGAGCTGTTTGAAGGCCAGATCCGCCTGCACTGCTGCTGGCACCGACCCCTGCACTTGAAACAATGTCACCTTTGACGTAGCTGGGGCCCCATAAGATGGTTCTTGATAGGAGCCAGCTGCTGCGTGTCAGCTGTTTTACAGATCTGTATGGTCTTTAGCCGTACTGCGCGCCTGAACTGCTCGGAGAAGACCCCGACAGCCTTGTACCGTCTCGTGGAGGCCAACCACCGCCATCAGCAGACAGATTTGCAGGCTTGGTGTCACAGCGTTTCCCAGGGTACCATAACACCGGCATGGAGGCCCAGGGCACAAACGCTGCATGATACGACACCTGGTCGGCACGGCACGGCATTCCACCGTTTTCGCAATCTGAGGTACGGCGCAGCTCGCGAGCAAGGCACGACACGGCATTGCATCCTCTCGCGCTCTCCAGCCCAAGCGCGACATTGCACGCGGGCGCGGCATGGGACGGCACATTGTCTCGCATTCTCGGAGGCAAGCACGTCAACGGGGCGTGGGCATGGCACGGCACGGCGCGGCAATGTTGCAGCGCCTTTGGAGCCCAGCACGGCGCGGCACGCGGGCACGGCACGGCACGGCACGGCACGGCAATTCCTTCCGCAGTCTCAAAGCCACGCACGGGCGCGGCACGGCACGGCACGGCACGCGGGCACGGCACGGCACGCGGGCTGCAAGTTCTTCGCCGTACAGAAACGAAGTACGGCACAGCACGCGAGCACGGCACGGCACGCGGGCGGCACCCTTTTCCGCATTCCAGAAGTTGGGCACGCCACGGTGTGGCGCAGCACGCGGGCGGCATTTTTGTAGCATCCCAGAAACCAGGCACGACAAGGCACGCGACTGCCGCACGGCACGCGGGCACGCCACGGCACGGCGCGAAACGCGGGCTGCATGCTTCACATGTCCGAAACCATTCACGACACGGCCCACCTAGTTCAGCGTGGCACAGCACGTGGGCGGCAGTTGTTCTTGCATTCTCGACTCTAGAATCTGGGAGCGCCACGGCACGGCACGCGGGCTGCACTTCTCTCGCATCCTCAAAACGAGGCACGGCACGGCACGCGGGCACGGCACGACACCTAGGCACGGCACACGGGCACGGCACGGCACGCGGGCACGGCACGGCGCGGAATTACACCACACGCGGGCGGCATTTCTTTCGCATCCCAGAAAATAGGCACGGCGCGGCTAACGAGCAGGGTGCGGCATGCGGGCGGCAGTTTTTTGCGTCCGAGATGTTCGGCTCGGCTCGCGGGCACGGCTCGCGGGCACGGCACGGCACGGCACGCGCACACGGCACGGCCCGACACCGCACGCGGGGACAATTGGGCACGGCACGGAATGGCGCGGCATGGCACGGCCCCGGACACGAGCACGGCACGGCACGGCGTGCAGGCGGTAAATTTATAGCTTGCCAGGAATTGAGCACGGAACGCGGGCACAGCACAGCACGGCACGCGGACGGCACCCTTTCCGCATTCCACGAGCTGGGCACGGCACGCGGGCACGGCATTGTACGCGGGCACGGCACGGCACGCAGGCGTAGGCACGGCAAGGGACGGCATGCGGGTACGATTCGGCACGCGGGCGACAACTTCCCGCATCCCAGAAACTAGGAACGCCATGGCACGGCACGCGGGTACGCCACGACACGCCACGGCACGACACGGCACGGCACGCGGGCACAGTACGACACGGCACGGCACGCGGGCGGCAAATTGATCGAAAGAACCGAGATTTTTTACACCATTCGCTGTGTAGTGGAATGATGGTGGTGATGGTGACGATGGTGATTTTGACGGTGATGATGCTGCTGCTGATGATACTGATAACGATGATGTTGGTGATGATTCTGATGTTGATGCTGATGCTGATGCTGATGCTGATGCTGCTGATGATGATGATGATGCTGCTGATGATCATGGTCATGATTATGATGACAATGAAGGCAATGATGATGATGACGATGCTGATGATGGTGATGATGACGACGATGATGATGATAATGATGATGATGATGCTGATGATGCTGCTGCTGATGATGATGATGATGATGATGATGATGATGATGATGATGATGATGATGATGATGGTGTTGCTGATTGTGCAGATGCCGATGTTGACGTTGCCCAGTCAACTATGCGGATGTACGTGGGCTGATAATTTTCATAAGGTGACGACGAGAGGAGATCATGAGGCTGACGAGGATGACGATAAAATGTCGATGGTGATGTTGGCCGCATTGTTGATGGGTATGAGTTGCGTCTGGCCAGTCAGGTCGCAGACTTCCTCTCGATGTCGAACGTGAGCGCCGAGGCTGATTGCAACACCCTTCCATTTGCGGCCGGGAGTGGAGGGTTGCGGCATTGGTTTTCTCTTTAGAGTTACCCTTCACCTCCTCGCTTATTCATCGTCCTCCTTCTCCTCTCTTCCTCCTTGCCACCCGCCTTCCCCCTCTCTCTTTCCCTTGTCCCTGTCCTCATTGCCCCCGTCCTCATCATCTCCAGCTTTTCGGCTGAAAAAATCAGACTGGCTGTGGGTGCCACCGCACGGGTCGAGCCTCAGCGCGCATGAAGCAGCGCGGCCAGGCAGCCGCCGCCAGCGCGCGTTCACAGTATGCAGCTGGCCCTTGACACTTTGATCCTGGCAGAGGCGACGAACGGCCATCGCCGAGAATAAAACACCGCAGATTGTGAGGTGACTGGTCGACACGAGCACCTCGAGCCGCAGGTGGAGGCAGCACGTGATGACCCACACGGCTACGTGGTTTTGTACGGAAAATCGAAGTTCAACTTATGGAAGCAAGGATCCTCGTTCCTTCTTTAGGGTTCCTTATCGCAGCGTTTCGACTGTAGCGAGGACCCAGGGTCAGCGCGAACTGATGATGCACTCTTGGGAAGACGCCGAGTGGGGCACGATTGACTTCGTTGCGCAAGCACTGGCCGAAGCCATCGTTCCTAGAGATCCGAGGGTATGATTTTTTCAGGTGATCGTTTTTTGTTCCTCCCCAGCGGACGCTCGTTGCTTGGCCCTCCCCCCCCTTGGTAACGCTCACGATCGTATTGGGCGCGGGGGGCCTGGGCTCTCCCCCTATGCATGCTAGGGGGCGGACTGTGCTCACAGGCATGGCGTGGTGCTGAAGGGCATGCTTTGGTGCTCATAAGCGTGTTGTGGCGTTCGCGGGCTCCCCACCTATCGCGGCGCCGAGCTCGGCGTGGTGCCGAAAGGCATATTTCGGTGCTCACATGCGTGCTGTGCGTGATGTGGCGCTTGCAGGCTATTGCGGTGCGCATAGGTCAGGCGTGCTCACTGCCGAGGTGCCCTGCTCGGAGGGCGGCGGGTCGGGGAACCGATGTCGAGCGGCTGGGCGGGCGTTCAAGGTTGAACGCGACGCAGGGGCTCGTTTCGGGCCACGGGACCCGCAGAAACGAGCCCACGGCGCGAAATCGATATCGAAGATGTGGTCGAGGGCTTCCAGGGTCCTCCACGAGCAGCGATCGTTCAAGATTGAACGGTCCACGCGGCGACAGAAGCCAACGCCGACGTCATCGCGACACAAGCCTGCCGTACCCAGCACAACGGAAAAGGCCGGCCCCCCCCTCCTCCTGCCTCCTTCTCGCGTCCTCAATGCAAGCGTTGTTTTGGGAGGTCCACGGCGCTGGAGCTTTCGATCCCATCGTCGGGCTCCTGCTGTTCCTCCTGTTGCTGCTCCTCTTGCTCCTGCTGCTCCTCCCCCCGCTCCGTATTCCCTTCCCTCAACGAAGGCCGCCAAGACCGTTGAAAGAGGAGATGAAGAGGACAGGGAGGAGGCGGTGCAGGAGGAGGAAGAGGGTGGAGGAGGAGGAGGAGGAGGAGGAGGAGGAGATGAATGACGAGTCCTGAAGGCCTCCGTGGTCTGTGGCGAGCCCCGCATGGAGGTCTCGCAAGCTACTAATGTGCTCGTTGGCACGTTTGGCGTTCTGGTGTGCACAGGCGTTGTGGTGCACGGAGGCACTGTGGCGTGCGTAGGCGTTGCGGTCCTCATGGGCGCTATGGTGTACACAAGCGCTCTGGTGCACGCAGGCAACGAGGTGTACGCAGGCGCTGTTGCGCACACGGCCACTGCAGTTTACACAGGCAATGCGGTGTACATAGGCGACGTGGTGCTGCGGTGCACGCGGTTGTTGTGGTGTACGGAGGCACTGCGGTGTACGCAGGCGGCGGTGTGTTGCACGCAGGCGTTGGGCATTGCCGTGTACGCAGGGACTGTGGTGCACACGGGCGATTGATGCGTCAGTGGCGCGGACGCACCTTGGCGGGTGCACGCCGCGGCCGCCGTTACCGTTCCCCTCCCGCCCGAACCCCCCCCCGGGTAACGCCCATTACCCCGCAGACTAATCAGGCGTTTTTTTTGTTTGTTCTGATTTCGGCCTCACGGGCCTGTTGATGGCCTAGGGGCCATCAACATTGGATCTAAGACGAAAAAGCACCCCCGGGGAAGGGGTCGGGACTTCTGGGGCCGCGGATTGAAAAACATCAAATCGGCGGATGCTTGGCTTCAGGGGAAGTTGCAAGAACAGATGTGTCGGGAGGGCGCCCTGCTCCTGAAGGGCAAAAGGGCACGCATCATGCCGTCGTCGGCAAGCTCATGAGTGCCATGGCCCCGTCTCCGCCTCACTTCGCCTGCGGCGCGCGGGACACATGCGCGCGAAACACAGGGACGCTGAGAGTCATGGCGCGCGCCGCGATTCTGCCGTCCAGCGCCGCGTCGAGTGCCGCAAACGAACCGCGAGGAGGTGCCAGCGTGCCACGGAGTCCGACCGCGGCGGAGGACAGCCATGGCTACAGGCGACCCCTGCTCGAGCAGGAGGATGGAAGTTCTAGGATCCTAATTTGGCCACGCGCGCGCCCGCGAAGGGGCGCGAGGTCCAGGATAGGAGAAGAACAAGCGGCCACTCGCGACGGCGGCGACGACGACGGACAAGTGGGCGCAAGAGAAAGACGAGGTGGAAAGCTACCATCCACAGGCAGCGCGAGCAAGGCGACCTGGCGGAGGCGCGCCTGGCGGTGGTGGAGACGCTGTGAGTCCTCTGGGGGATGCACGCGCGTCGTCCAGTGCCCTCCTCTCCGTCTCCGTCCCGCGTCACCCGCAGAGACCACTGGAGAGTTCTCCTTACGGGCCCGTTTTCCCGTGAAGTGACAGCGGGACATGACCAGTATCACAGATATGGAGGCCTCTCACACGCCGTGGCATTCATGGTATTGCTCGCCCCTACTTACACGCCGGCTGGGGGAGATATTTCAGAGGTGCAGTTTGATTACTAGAGAGAATTTGTAAGCAGCGTACTGCAGCACAGGACTTGTGTCGGACGCTACATCGTATGGTTCGGCCATCGACCACCACGTCCAGGAAACGAAGTGAGTCTAGAGAGGGAGGGGCTCCGTTCGAAACGTGGGCACAGCAGGATGTAGGTAGAATATTAATCAGGCCCCCAGCAGAAGTTTGGCGCGTAGGGGCCTCCTGCATTCTCTCCCTCCTCCTCTCTCCCCTGCGTCGTTGAGTGAGGTCGTGTCGTCTTTCTCGCCCTGCTTGGGAGCCCTGCTCGCCCTGCGCGTTCCCCATGAAATGGGCACGCGAAAGGGCCAACAGCCGCTCCCCCCGCACTGACCCGTAGGGACTCGTACACACAAGGTAGCGAACCTCTCTTACGGGGCCTCCTCGGAGCTCGCCCTTTGGAGCACCGGGCTACGCCCCCTGCCGGCCCCATGGGAAGTTTGGGTTTGCGGTATATTACATTCGCAGGGAATTTTGCAAGTCGTACCACGCAGCTTCTTTGTTTGCGTTTCGACGTTGACCCCCTCATGCGGATGTTTTGTCCTGTCCGTCCCGCGTCGCAGTCGAAGATCCGATCGCCGGCTGTGACGTAATTTAGGTGCAAGGCCTGCCAGGCGTTGCCTCTGGGAAACATGTGGGCTGATCGCGCCAGAGTTCTTCATGGACTCGAGATCCATGCGCTCCGACGTCGCACTTCTTGATGAAACGTTTTGCGTTGACCATGCATAAGCTGTACAGCTGTTGGGTTATGGCACTTGGTTTGGCAGTTTCTGCTGCTGCTTCCAAGGCGCATGTGTGCCGTTCTGAGACTGATGACAGCACGTAGACCCCAAGCAGTTCCGTCCTGCAGCAAATGCGGAACCCTACGATGTTCATGTGAATCCTTATGTCGGGAACCTTCTGTGTAGAGTCTCACGCGTGTGGAACCTTACGTGTATGTATCCATTTGTGCGTGGAGCTCGATGTGTGTGTGTGTGTGTGGAAGTGTGCGTGCGTGACAGGACCCCCATACGCATTTCACCCACAGGGGGGCCATAGGAAGCAAAACCATAAAAATCCAAACGCCCACCAGAAAAAGTGCGCCACCCTGGACCAGTGGATCGGACAACCATTGGATCCGTGCGAAAACCAAACCATAGCTATCCTACCACCCACCGGAAAAAATGCGCCAGACAGTGCCAGCTCCCAGCTCCCTACAACGCAAGTAAGAGCAACTATGTGCAAGCACTGTTCGGGGAAGGAGCCAGAAGGAAAGCATATCATTTCGACCAGAAATGGGCAACCTAGAGCATCTCCGCACTCAGTTGAGCAACGAAGCAGTTCGACACAGCGGTGATATGGCAAGAGAAGCGACCTATCCTGCCCTTGTACCAAGCGAGCGCTCATTTCGCTAGCAAGACTGCGCGGCCCCTGTCCGTGGGCGAGCTGGACGTAGAGGCGCACTACGGCTGCCGAGTGGCCAGTCAGTGCTCCTCGAAGGGAGGACCACCGACATCTCAGGAGGAAACTGGTCCGTTGAAGCATGGGCGACCAACCAGGGCACGGGGTCACTAGGGCGAAGCACGCCCTGCAGACCATGAGCTGGACGATCTTGCCTGAGATGACTGTGCCATCGTACCTCCACGAAGCGCAAGCACCAAGCTGTGAAAACTGCGCGTGCGGAGGCCGGGGCCGGGAGGAAAGCATCGACCAGATCGGCCACGGGTTTACCCGGTCGTCGGTTTGGACTTATTGTGGGCCTGCGTGGTGCGTCTGTCTGCGGCTGGAACGACTTTGCTCTCGTTGCCAAAAAAGGCTGCACATGCTGATACATCAAGGGACAAAGAACTGAGACAGAGGCAGTAGGGCAGACACATTGTTGATGCCTCTCCCCTTGATGCCCCCCTTGTTTCTCCCCATCCCGCCCTTGTGCCCTCCCCCTTCCTTTTCCCATCTCCACACTTGGACTCACCACCACGACCACAATCACCAACATGCGCTTCGCCGACGACGTGATCCTGACCAGCCAAACCCTGTGGCGTCCCGCTACGATGCTCGACGACATCGTGCGCGACGCAAGGCATCACGGACTGAGTAGCATCCTGACAAGACCAATATCATGAGCGACCAGACGAAACGGATTGGAAGAGCGAGCTCCCGCACAGCACGCGTCCATAGCAAGGACACGGGCATCTTTTGACACGATGACACAAGTATTCCGGCCAACGCATTAGCTTCCACGGCACGATGGGGACAGACATCGATCACCGCACGAGAGCTGCGTGGGCGCCGTTCAACGCGCACAAACCAGGGCTGACCACTATACTTTACCCACTGGCACACCGACTCCGGCTTTTCAACCGCATAGTAACACCGACACCCTTCTACGTAGCAGAGACATGGACGATCACGGCGGGGACCAGCAGACACTCTACGGCAGCACTTGCGGGGGACACAGCGACGCATGCTTCGCACGATCATTAGGACGCCTCGACGGCGCACTGTACACCAAGCACCAGCCAGGAAACTAAATGTGTCGACAGCGCGACCGACGAAGCACTGGACGTCGACCCTTGGGCTAACATCACCATCGCCGACGCGGGCAGCAACGCCCCAGCACGACGCAACCACGACGCCAGACCAGCACAGCGAGCGCGACGACGACAAGGCAAATGTAGATATGGAGCTTCGGGTGGATTGCATTCAACGTGCTATTCGGCGCGCTCAGCCGGCAGTTGGGCAACGCGCGCATGGAAGTTATGGCGAAAAGGTTCAAGCAAACAGCAGGGCGGCCAAGACACGTGTTGGGACGACGCCGTAGTCACGTACCTTCAATGACACAGGCCCGACCTGCATCCGGCGCGCACGCCTATCACTGAGAACGGCCAGTAAAACGATGTTTCTTAGGCCCGTACGGCCCTTCAAGGGAAGCTTGGCTTATAAAGGCACTTCCGACGCACGTCGACATCGAGAACCAGTATGTCCTCACCCTCCTCTTCCGCCTCCCTCTCCGTCATATTGTTTTGCATGTGTTTCGCGGTTCCGATGCATGCTTTCGTTTGACCGTTGAGGCCATGGCCTCACCCACCTGGTCCTAGTCAGGTTCGGAGCATTGTCAGCAAAGGTGGTTGCTCGTTCGCTCGTTTGTTCTCCTTCGTTCCTTCGTTTCCTTCGTCTCTCCAAAACCATCCCCTTCACCCTTTACTTCGCTCATCCCCCATCCTCCCTTTCCTTTTCCCCGCCCTCTTTCCCGCTCTTCCTCTGTGCCTCCTCCTCCCGTCGTCCTCCGACCTCCTGCTGGGCCCCCTTCCCCAGCTTGCCCCGCGCGTCGCCCCCCCACCGTTGCTCCACAGACCGCCCCGACAGGCTGCGCAGCGCATGCGCCAGTTGGCTCCGCACTTGCAGCAGGCGGGGAAGATCCTTGGCTCAGCGAGCGCGTTCCACTACGTGCACAGTGCATACTCGCAGACGCCAGAGCAAAAAAACGAAACACGGTCTCCTCGATGGAATGGATCGTGAATTCCCCGCGGCGGATCCTGGCCGCTTGCGAGCAGTTGCCCTGCGAGTAAAGGAACGCGCTTGTCTAGCTGCCCCCATCGGGGCCCCGATGGAAAGGAGCTGTGGAGGGTGCAAGTTGGCCGAAAGGCGGCGCAGGGAAGCGTCGAGACGACATGCGCGGAAAAACGGGAGGTGTAGTGTGCGCATTTGCCCTTCCCTCCTCTCTCCTCCTCCTCTCTCCTCCTCCTCCTCCTCCTCCTCCTCCTCCTCCTCCTCCTCCTCCTCCTCCTCCTCCTCTCCCTCCTCCTCCTCCGCCCTCCTCCTCCTCACCCTCATCGTCCTCCTCGTTATCCTCCTTGTCCTCCTCTCTCCTCGCTCCTCCTTCTTCTTTTTCTTATTTTTCTTATTATTTTTCTTCTTATGTTTCTTATTCTTATGTATATTATTACTATTCCTCCTCTTCTCCTCCTCCTCCTCATCCTCCTCCTCCTCATCATCATCATCCCTCCTCCCTCCTCCCTCCTCACTCCCCCTTCTGCTCCTCTCTCCTCTCTCCTCCTCCTCCTCCTCCTCCTCTCCTCTTCCTCTCCTCCTTCTCCTCCTCCTTCTCTCCTCCTTGTTTTAATCGTATCCTCCTCCTCCTCCTCCTCCTCCTCCTCGTCGTCCTCCTCCTCCTCCTCCTCCTCCTCCTCCTCCTCCTCCCCGTTAGATCGATATCTTTCCGAGCGTGCGTGAGGAAAGCTTGTTGCTCTTCTCTAGGCCTTCTAGATGGGGCCGGAGTAGATGGGACGGAGGATCGCGCCGCATCGCCGATGCGGCTCGATGTGGAGCTCGATTTGCTTCACGTCGACGTCGCCGATGCGTCGCCCACGTCGACGATGCATCACCGATGCATTGCCGATGCATTGGCGATTCAGCGCGATCTTCAGACCCCATTTACTCGGACCCCATTTAGGAGGCCTCTAGTCAGATTGATACTTGTCCCAGAGTGAGTGGGGAAAGCACGTTGCCCTTCGCGGAGCATGTTTCTGTTTGTCGCTTTGCCGAGCTGCCCCCCTCTCTCCTACAGTCCTGTCGTTTCGTCTCACTCGGGAGGGGTCATTCCTCGGAACGAGTAGGATGTGTTGAACTCTCTCGAAGGTCTCGCCCTTCCTCGGTCTCTTCGTTTTATTACTGTTCCGTGCGTTTTTTATTCACCACGATTTCGCTAGAAGCGTGGGCTGTTCAGTGGAATCGGATACCAATCGGAGGCTGGCACCATTGGATCCCTGATAGGAGACAAAGATAGGTGGGAGAAGGGAGGAGGGAGCGAATGCTGACACCTCAGGCCTTCGGTCCCAGGTTTCGTACAAGAGGCGGGGGGGAGGGAGGGAGGGAGGGAGGGAGGGAGGGGGGACTGCAGGTAACGGAGAGAAACTTTGAGTGGCTACCGTCGTAGTTGGCTCTTTTTGTTCGAAGCAATGGCGACCACACGGGCAGAGAACTACAGCGTAATCGTTTGGATTCTGGCACTTCCGATATGCCGCTATCACATCGACCGCAGTAAAGGCAGCGAGTAGGTCAGCGCAGCCATTAACAAGTCTAAGTGTCACCTCAATTGGCACCCCACGCATTCGACCTCATCGGCCCCCTTCTCATGCTCGTCACGCTTCTGCTGCTGCTCCTTCTCACTCTTCTGCTCTTACTCAACACAATTATTAGCCAGCGTGCACCCTGAACAGTAGGTTCTAGCATACTATGTGGTGAAATCTACGTGGTGCAACCTACGTGGTACCATTCATGTGGCGCAATGCAATGCGATTGCAATACAATGGCGCAACACAGTGCAACGTAAAGCAAAGCAATGCACCGTACTGCAGAACAATGCAACGTGATGTCAAGCATTGCCAGCCAATGCGAAGCAATGTTACGCAATGCAGATCGGTGCAAACTATGTGGTGGTGCAAAATATGTGGTGCAATATTCGTGGTGCAATCTATGTGGTGCAATTCACTATGACTGTCTTGAAGCTGTCCTCTCCACTGCTCGTGCAAACATCCCACCCTCCCACCCGCAACTTGGTCGCAAGACCTCCTATGATCGTGACGGTAGGTCACAAATGGCACTTGTAACCGACAACGACAGCGACAACGACGACGACGACGACGACTACGACGACACCGACGACGACTCCGACGACCTCGACAACGACGACAATGACGACAATGACGACGACGACGCCGACGCCGACGCCGACGACGACGCCGACGACGACGACGACGACGATGACGTCGACGACCACGACGACGACGACGACGACGACGACGTCGCCAACTACGACGACGACGACGACGAGGGAGGAGGGAGGACGACGACGGCGACAACGACGAAGGAGGAGGGATGACGGCGGCGACGACGACGACCACGACGACGGCGACGAAATAGGAGGGACGACGACGAGACGCCGACGACGGACGACGACGAAGACGAGGGAGGAGGAAGGACGACCACGGCGACAACGACGACGGAAACGACGACGCCAAAGTGGACGACGACGACGACGAGGAAAGACGGAGGACGACCACGGCGACAACGACGACGAGGGAGGAGAGAGGACGGCGACGACGGCGACGACGACGCAAGAGCGCGCGCTCACGCTTTTGTTGAAAATCCGTGTTGCGGAACCTTGTGTTTTGGTATTTGTTTGGACACACGATGTTGAAATCATTCCGAAACCGAAGGGTTTTGAAGGACTTCGACATGCGCGCGCGACGAGGCGCGCGTCTACACTTCGTTTCATTTGTTGCAGAGGGTTCTCGCGACGGCACGCACACAAGGGCGTTCGGAAGATTTCGACATGCGCGTGCGCGCGAAGCCCGTGCGGTAGCTTTTGTGTTGTGAACACCTTGAAAAAAACTATTGTTTTCTTTCGATTTCGCAAGAGCGCGCGCGTAAGCTTTTTTAGAACACCAGTGTTGCGAAACCATGTGTTTTTGTTTGTTGTTTTGGAAACTCGATTTCGAAATCCTTCCGGAACCGAAGGTTTTTGAAGGATTTCGGCATGCGCGCGCGACGACGCGCGCACGTCGTCCCATTTTTGCAAGGGGTTCTTGAACACTTGCGATGTGTGATAAACGAGTGTGCGCGCATAGTATTTGTTGCACAGGATGGCGGGGGGGAGTGGTACCGGTTTGGCTGGGATCGTATGAGTTCATATTTCGGATGGACGTTCGGGCAGAATCATATGTAAATTGCAATACGAAAAGGTGTATCGTTAATCCTGGGGGGTGGGTAGAGTCTATTCTTCTTTCGGAAGGGAGAACCTATGCGATGACGCAACACAATGCACTGCAATGCAAACAAGTGCAAAACAGTGTAAAACAACGCAAAGAGGCGTCGCCTCCTCCTCCTCCTCCTCCTCCTCCTCCTCCTCCTCCTCCTCTCCTCCTCCTCCTCCTCCTCCTCCTCCTCCTCCTCCTCCTCCTCCTCCTCCTTCTCTTTGGCTGCCTCCTTGGGCTCCTCCGGCTCGCCTTTTTTATGCCCGTGCCCCCACCCCTGACATCAGCCGATGTGATTTCTTCAATCCGCGGCCCCAGAGTTCCCGATGTCTTCCCGGGAACGGTTTTTCGTCTCAGATCGGGGGGGCCTGCGCCTCCTCTGCCTGCTTCGTCCTCGCTCCTCCCCGAATGGTGCAACTCCGCAGCTGGACTGGCGCGTGAAGCTCGCTGGACGGCCTGTGCTAGCTGCTCGTCTCGCCACTCCCCCTCCTCTCCTCTCCCGGCCGCTGCCGCCTCTCCACTTCCTGACATCGTGATAGCTTGCGTGATTCGCTCCGTCTGGATCTGCGCTCGCGGGGGATTTCCGAGTGCTTGGGCATGACCAGTCTTCGTTTAATGGATTGCTGGACTTTTGATTGGACCGCTGGAGCCATCGAATTTTGAACGCAGCACTGGCCCGATCTGGCAGATAGGTTTTACCTGAGAATTCGTATCGGTAGGCCCGTGCTGGCCGACGCCTGCGACAGACAGCAGGTCCATTTCGGGTGCACCGGCCTGTTCTCGATGTGAGGCTGGTCCCTGATGTAGCTCACCCCTCCTCCTCCTCCTCCTCCTGCTGCTTCTCCTCCTCCCTTCCTCCTCCTCCTCCTCCTCCTCCTCCTCCTCCTCCTCCTCCTCCTCCTCCTCCTCCTCCTCCTCCTCCTCCTCCTCCTCCTCCCCCCTCCTCCTCCTCCTCCTCCTCCTCCTCCTCCTCCTCCTCCTCCTCCTCCTCCTCCTCCTCCTCCTCCTCCTCCTCCTCCTCCTCCCTCTCCTCCTCTCCTTCCTCCCTGTCCTCGGCGCGGCGCGCCTGGGGAATCAGCTCTTGGCGTCTTCTCTCCCACGCCACGGTGCTCTACACGAGTTTGCCAATTGCAGGGCGGCGTGTGTGGCGTTCTGAGTCTGCCTGGCGGCTGTCTTACTCAAACTGAGCTCACTGACGAGGCTGGTGGATCGGCACCGATTGTCAACCTGCGTTGCCGCCAGATGATAGCCCCCGGGCCCGAGAACGGCCCGCAAGCGATGGCATCGTCGTCGTCGTCGGCGGCGTCGTCGTCGTCGTCCGTCGTCCGTCGTCGTCGCCCGTCGTCGTCGTCGTCGTCCGTCGTCGTCGTCGTCCGTCGTCGTCGTCGTCGTCGTCGTCGTCGTCGTCGTCGTCGTCGTCGTCATCGTCGTAGTCGTCCTCGGCGTCGGCGTCGGCGTCGGCGTCGTCGGCGTCGTCGGCGTCGTCGTTGTCGGCGGCGCCGCTCGAACAAGTCATATCGTCGGAGATCTGGGACTGCTGGCCCTGCTCCGAGGTGGTGCTGAAGCGCGGCCCGCTCCACGACGCGCGCAACCCGACGGCGGTGCTGCTGGCGCGCATCCGCGACGCGGAGCCCCGGCAGCGGGCTCTCCCGCCGATGGTTGTGGTGCTGCTGCCCCTGCCATCCCTGTGGCCCGGGGGGCGGCCCAGTGCAGACGGCGCGCCACTCGGTGCACGCGCAGGGTCCCCCCCCCTTTTGTGTTGTCTTAAGTCAGGCTTGTCCCTCTCCAGGGGGGAAATTCAAAAGTAGTCCAAAAAATGGTCGGGGGACCATGCCTTGATTATCTTTCAAAATATTTAGGAGTTTAAATTTTTAAAAAATTTGTCGTCCAAAATCCCCCTGAAGGGGGACATGACCGACTTGAGTGTTGTCCGAGTTCGAGTTCACACCTCTTCCTCGGCGGAGGGCTGGCGGCAGGCGGCGGAGCCGAAGGAGCTGACACCTCTTCCCCTTGCGGAGGGCTGGCGGGAGGCGGCGGATGTAGAGCGAAGGCCGGAGAGCCCACCCCGCCCAGGAGCGTCCGGTGTTGCTGCCGGGGGCCCCATCGCCGCCGACCTGTCGGCGACGCATCGCCATGTCAAGCTCGATGTGTCCCCCCGCGAGCTATGGTCTCTCCCCGATCGCTGCCTCTCACCATCCTCGCTTGCCCCCCTGTCCATGGTCGTCCATCTGTGTGTGCTTTCGGGCGTGTCCGAGGCCCGCGAGGTACTCTGAAGCATGCCGAACTCGCCGAGCTCCTTCGAGGCCCTCCTGGGACTCCCATGAGGCTTCTGAGGCGCTCGAGGCAAAATCCCGCTACTTCTGCCAGGCCGAGGGGTGTTTCGTGCTGTTGAGCTGTTTGTTCCCAACGCTCCTGCGCTGGGTGCTCGTTTTGACTAAAACACTGGGTCTACGGCCAGCGAGAGGCCGAGGGGGGGAAGTGAAAAGGGGCGGGTCTTCTCGGAAGGCTCGGAAGTCCCCTGGCCTTCTGAGAAGTTTTCTAAGCCTTCCCCGAAGACACAGAAAACTTCGCAGAAGGCGCGAGGGCCTCTGAGAAGTCCCGCCGCCCTCTGAGAAGGCCTTCTCCTTCTCACTTCCCCCCTTCGCTCGCCGCCGGTCTCCGTCCTTCCCCCCCGCCTCCCTCATCCTCTTCCCTTCTGTCTCACCCTTCCCCTCTCTCCTCCCGCCTCCCTTCTTCTCTTCCCTCCTGCCTCACCACCTCCATAGGTCTTCAGACCCCCCCATTAGTGGGAAACTGATTCTCGCTTCGACCCCCTTACTCACGGACTCAAGTCGCACCACACCAGCAAAGGAAACTTCACATATTTCCGCGGCGCCCACCGCACAACAACGACGAGGATAATGAGGAGGAGGAGAAGGAGGAGGCGGAGGCGGAGCAAGGAGGCACAATGTGAGAAGGAGAAGCAAGAGGAGGAGGAGGAGGAGGAGGAGGAGGAGGAGGAGGAGGAGGAGGAGGAGGAGGAGGGGGAGGAGAAGGGGCGGAGTGAACTCCCCGCAGAGAGAAACAGAGGGAGGGCGGATCTCAAACTAAAGACCTCCTGAGGTCACCTGTTTCCTACCCTGTCTCCTACTACCTCCGCATCCTCGGGGGATGCGATCTGCGAGCCTGTCGCCACTTTCGCGGGCTGCTGGGAGGTCCTCGCTGTCCCTGTGGGTCGCGATCTGCGAAATGATCCCCACTTTCGTAGGCGCCGCAGTGCAGCTTAGTGCGGCGCTACGCAGATCAAAGCGGGACCTCGCCGTCCCTGTGGGTTGCGAAGTGAGAAAGTGTCGCCACTTCCGTGGGCGTCTGAGAGGGCCAGCGGAGTGCGGTGCTGCACAGATCAGAGCGGGACCTCGCCGTCCTTGGGGCTGCAAGTTGCGAAATTGTCGCCGTTTTCGTGGGGAATGTCGTTTGCTGCGTCGTTACGCAGATCAGGGCGGGACCTCGCCATGCTTGTGGGGTGCGAACTGCGACATTGTCGCCATTTTCGTGTGGTCCTCGGGGGTCCAACTCATTGCAGTGCTACGCACATCAGAGCGCGACGTCGCCGTCTCTGGGGTTGCCAGTGGCGAAGCTGTCACAGTTCCCGTGGGCTTCTGACCAGGCCACCTGGGGGGTGCAATTGCGAAATTGTCCCGTCTTTCGTGGGTGCCTCAGGGAGGCAGCGGCCAGCGTAGAGACCTCGCCGTCATCCTGGCGCCAGGCGCCAGGACGAGGACGATCTGGACGGCCTGTGGCTGCATCTCCGATGCTCTCCGAGGCCACGAAGGTCGACATTCTGTTGGTGATACTGGACCCGTGGCTGCAATTGTCTCAAGCGGGCCGCCCGCGGATCTGGCGGCGCGCCCGCGCTCTCTTATTTCCCGCGCTGAGGAAAACCGTGGAAAGGCCGAGCATCTGGCAGCGCAGCACGGCACCGCGCAGTTTCTGCACAGACTATAACTGACCGCCAGCGTGCCTTGAAAGATCGCCGCCTCCTTCCTCCCCCCCATCATTCGTCTTCGCCCTCTTCCTTCTGCCCGATTTTTAGGGGCTGCGATCCGCGAAACTGGCGCCGCTTTCGCGGGCTGCTAGGGGTTCCACCGCGGATGGGGGGGAGGAGGAGGAGGAGGAGGAGGAGGAAGAGGGGGAGGAAGAGGAGGAGGAGAAGGAGGAGGAGGACCAGTGAAAGCCCACAAGTAATCAACGAAATTGGAATGATCCCTCCCTCCAAACTTCCTCCTCCGAGGCCCCATACAACGGTGCATTCCCACTGAGGGAACTGCCTCGTTTGAAGCCAACCGTTTGAAGACCCTCAAGCATACCAAAACGTAGTTTTCAGGATTCCAACGCCACGGAAGCCTACCCCATAGGACCTTACGCCTGCTCCTAGGGCCTCTAGGGCCTACCCGCGCAGAGCCGCCTTGGCCGGAGGAGAAACGCGAGGAGGGAGGATAAGGTGGAGAGGAGGAAGGGGGGCGGGGAGGAGGAGGAGGCGGAGGAGGAGGAGGAGGAGGAGGAGGAGGAAAAGGGGGATGATGATGATGATGATGATGATGATGATGATGATGATGATGATGATGATGATGCTGATGATGATGATGATGATGAGGAGGGAGGAGGAGGAGGAGGAGGAGGAGGAGGGGAGGAGGGAGGAGGGAGGAGGAGGAGGAGGAGGGAGGAGGAGGAGGAGGGGGAGGGAGAACAAGAGGAGGAGGAGGGCGAGGGCGAGGACGGGGAGGAGGAGGAATTTTGGATGTGGCGACCAGGTTGGGGCAAAGGCTTGCTTAAACACGGGATGCTTGCTATTTGGCTAGCTCAGTTTTGCTGTAAGGTGTTGGCCAAAGTCCTCGAGCAATCCGATCGAGATAATCGTGGCGATTCCATTAAAGTCGGTCAACGCACGGCTATGTCAGTTCTTTGAGCTGCTGAGCTGCATAGGAGCCGCAGGCTGAACATAGTCAGACCCCTGTCCCGCGTGATGCCTTACTTTATGACTTGGGCCGGGAAGCCCCCCCGCAATATGCACCCGCCGCTTTGTGGGGGAGGTCGAACAAAGTCCCGTCCACATTTCTTAGATCAATACAAGGTGGCGGTGGCCAGTCCCTGTGCTCGGCTTGTGTGGCTGTGCCCTTGCGCCTGTTCCACTGACGGGCGCTCGATTCACACAGGGCGTGCTGAGACGAGAGCATTGCGCAAGCAGACGGAGCAGGTGGCCTGGGCTGTGCACGGCGGGCTACTTTCCTACCCAGGTTTTCTCACGTTCTCGACTAAGTTCGCATTTTGACAAGGAAAGCTTTGTGCTCCATGCCGTGAACACGAGAGCGATTGTTTTTCTGAAGCTTTGGCCCCATCGGCGCCAAGTGTGGCGAAGGCGTCAGCCATGGCGTTGCCCGAGACGAGCAGGTTGGACGCCTTGCCCTGCAGCACATCGTGGGCCTCGAGGTGCGAGTGGACGAGGAGCATCGGGCACTGCATATCGGGATGAGCGGCCAGGTGCTTGCCGATCTTCCACCACAGGTCACTGTCGGGCCCTCCAGGCTGCTTGTATCGATGACTGTACCAACGAATGATCACGCTGCCGCGAAGTGCGAGGAAGAAGGCTAGAAACTCTCATCATGGTACTTTTTGACGTAGTCTAGGTCAACTTCTCCAGGTTCCAAGGAACAGCTCCATATCTTCGTGGAGATTATGAAAGCAGGCGAATCCACATCCAACACGGCGCTCCCTCCGGTCCGTTCTCTCGCGGCCGCCACTGGCGTCCCCAAATATGCAGATGGGGTGTTCCTCCGTGCCCTCCCCGAAGCAGCCGTCGACAAACTCTTCGCCCGTCGTGTTCGAGGATTCGACACACTGCGGAACGGGGTGCACAAGTAACCCGACTCAGAGCCCTTGCTCTTTCGAAGTGTGTCAGATTTAAGGGGCTCGACAGCCAGGCAGAGGTCGGGACAGGACTCGCTGAGTTATTCATTCGTTCACCTTTCGAAATGTTGAGTTGCACGCCGCCACAAGCCAGCCAGGACTGTGTGCCCATCTTCGTCAAAAAGGGCGCTGGGTATATCGATGTGTTCGATGCCAGTGGGTGTGAGTTTATCTGCTTCGAAGTGCCAAGGTGTGCTCGGCGCCGTCAGCAGCACCAGGTGTGACCCAGCATGTAGCAAAGTCCGGTCGCCATCCAGTTTGCAGCAGATAAGATACCACCGCTCCTTGAAACCCGCGATTGTGTCGAGCTTTTCGTGCCAGCGGTACAGCGGCAAGGTCTCAAGCAAGTGCAGACCGGGTGCGCTTTATGCCGTCGCGAACAGGCACAAGCGAACGCATTCCCTCGGGAGCTTGCATGCTGGATCTCTGCCCACTGGTTTCAAATCTAGCAATATGGTCAAGCAGCGGCCTGACATCCGAGGCCCGAGCGCGGTGTAGCTGGCGTCGGTAAGCACCAGCTGTCTGCGCTCCTTGATGTTCTAACCTGGAGGAGGAGGAGGAGGAGGAGGAGGAGGAGGAGGAGGAGGAGGAGGAGGAGGAGGAGGAGGAGGAGGAGGAGGAGGGAGGAGGAGGAGGAGGAGGAGGAGGAGGGGGAGGGGGAGGAGGAGGGGGAGGAGGAGGAGGA